GTCCCCAGCTTCTTGCCCTCCATCTCAGCCCCCACCCCTCATCGTAATCCAGGAAAATGATGCGCACGTTGCCTCAGAAAAGGCATGTAGCTCTGTCCCATTCCTTGGGAAGTGGTTTGTTTGGGGGCACAGCATGGGGTGCCAGGAGCTGGGAGTGCCAGCCTATGGGGCTGTGTTGCCCTAACGGACGGCCTGCTGCAGCCGAGGGGGTCACTGGGGTCAGAGTGGCTGGGTCCGTGGCCAGCGTTTCCCCAGGGCCCAGGGCTGCAGGAGGAGGGAACTGACAGCCCAGAGAGGCCAGGTTAACAGCCTCCAAAGTGTATTCACCACAATAGATGGGGGGGTCATGGGTAAGGCAATTATTCTAGGATGCCTAGCTTTCCACGGGACCCAGCGAAGAGCAGGCTGCAGGCACAGCTGAGTCCCAGCCCTAACTCTACTGCCAAGGCATGTAGGGCCTCCAGCAACCTCAGGGTCCCCGATGGGCAATGGGCAAAGGGGGTGGAACCCAGAGCCTCTGTGCCCCAGACTGGAACTGCCCCCCTCCCCGTGCCAGGGGCCGGCTCACCGTATTGAGGCCAAGAGAGTTGGGGTTCAGCGAGGAGGTGATGCCCGAGAGGATGGCGGTGGCGACGATGGCGCCCACGCACTGAGCGATGATGTACATGACAGCCCGGAGGATGCTGATCTGGCAGCTGAGCAGCAGGCCCAGTGTGACGGCCGGGTTGAGGTGGGCCCCGCTGATGTGGCCCACGCTCTGGGCCAGCGTGGCGATGCTCAGCCCGAAGGCCAGCGACACCTTCACGATGTCCTGGGTGGGGGCTATGGTGTGGTTGCCCACCACCTGGTAGTTGACGCCCAGGGCGGACCCGATGCTGATGAAGATGAAGAGGGTCATGGCCAGGAACTCGGCCACCACTGCCCTCCAGAAGAGCTTCTTCTTGAACTCGCTGGCCATGCTGGAGACAGCCGCGGGGTCTTGACTCAAAGCTGCTGCCTGCTTGCCTGGGACTCCCTCAGAGAGCTGAGCCACAGCCCAGGCTGGGCCTATTTATAGGGCCCGGGGGGCGGGGGGGGGGGGGGGGGGGGGGGGGGGGGGGGGGGGGGGGGGGGGGGGGCGGGGGGGGGTGGAGGGAGAAGGGGGAGCACAAAGGGAGGAAGGCCGTTCCTCCATTTGGCCCGCCCCACACCACACCACACGGGCCTCCTGGGCGATGGATGCAGACGCGGCTCCGCTGTCGGCTTGCCAACTTTCTCTCCCTTCCTCCTCTCCCCCTCCCTCTGCTGCTCCCTCCACCCTCAGCCCTGCCCAGCCAAGGAGGCAGGCAGGAGGCAACGCAGTTCTAAGAGGCTTTGGGAAATTCCTCCAAGCTCTCAGGGAGCAGGGAAAGCCAGGTGCGCCTGCCCCGCACACCAAACTCAGGGGTGCCTTCTCCTGGGCAGACGGGGCACGGGGGTTGATCTGGATGGGGCACTGTGGGCGGGCCAGCCCGAGCGGACATTGCCCTCCTCCTGGGAGGCCAGCACTATGACAGTGTTAGACCTGGTGTCTGCAGGCCCCGTCGGCTGGAGCCTCCTGCACCCAAGTCTGGCCTAGGGTTCTCTTTGGTGGGGGGGCATCCCAGAGCCCCCATCTGGGAGAGACATGGCACCATCGAGAGGCCTGGCAAGCTTGGCTGTGAACCACCCTCCGTCCTGTGGCCCAGGGAGGCCTGGCCCACCAGGGAAGGTGGGAAGCCCCGGCTCCAGGAGCGCTCGAGCTCGGCAGTGCTATCTGAGAAAAGGGTTCAAGGGCTGGTGGGGAAGAGAAGGACAAGCTGGTCGATCAGAGAGGCCAAGGAGGCTTGAGTGGCAGCCTTAGTTGGAGGAGGGCAGCATCTGGAAGGAAAGGTGGAGAAGGTAAGGAGGCAGGAGGGAGCCAGAGAGAGAGGCGAGAGGGAGGGGAACCACAGCCAAGCCCAGAGGGGCAGAGACAATAGGGCCGGAAAGTGGGAGAGAGACGCTGAAAAGCAGGGAGACAAGAAGCAAAAGGAGAGATAAAGTGTGGGAGCAAGAGAGCAGAGGGGCCCCCAGCCCACCCTGTGCCTGAACACCCCCAACCAGAGACCAGAGAAAGACCCTGGCCTAGAAGCTGGTGGGGAAGATGCTTCGCCCAGCCAACTCCCCACAGTGCCTGCCCTCCTCTGAACCTCCTGCCTGTCTCCCACAGTCCCACGGGGCCATGTTGAGTGTTCTCATTTCTCTCATCTTATAAGTAGGCAACTGAGACTATTGGGGGGATGGCAGAAGGGCGTTCTATGAGGGCCGAAGTGTGCCTGGAACAGGAGCTGGCACATGCAGGCCTGTACTCCTGCCCACCTTAACTTAATGCCCACCTTAACTTAATTCGGGGCCTAAAGCAGGGGGCCAGGGGGTGGGGGTGGGGGAGCGCCGTGTCACCTAAGGACAGAGTGGAGCTGAGGTGGGGACCAACCAGCATGGTGCCCAGAGGCCTGGCAGCGAGGGCAGGGGCAGCTAGTGCTATTAGGCACTGACCAGTTGGTTCACAGCCACTCCATGTACAACTGAACACAGCACTGCCCCGTCTCGAGTCTTCGTACCAGCTGTTGCTATGCCTGAGCCCGTCACAGCTGCCACTGCCATTCCCTCTCTGAGGGGCTGCGTCTTTCGCCCGGATCCTCCACTTTACCAAGCATGATGGCCAAGGCAAATCTGGTCCTATCAGCTGCCCAGCCCACAGGTCCACTTTCTGCCACCGGAGGCATCCTGCCTCGGGAAGCTCTCTCCGCCTGTAGTCTGGCCCCTGACCTGGGCTTTCTGGTGGCAGCATTGGCCAGTGGCAGGGGACACTCTAGTCAGTTCCAGAGGCCTTGACCCAGTGCTTGGTCCACAGGCCTGCGAGTCCCTTGGAATGACACGGTGGAGGGCACGAGGCCAGGCTCCCCTTGGCCCAGGATCCTGAGGGCAGGTTCAGCCCCCCTCCCTACCTCTGCTTGGTGGAGGCACAGCTTCAGACACTGGCAGGTTCTGGGACCCAGGGGGCTGGAATGGGGCACAAGCCAGCAAAACCAGGACTATGTGCCTTCATGCACCTGTGTGGCAGAAAGACAGGGCTTTCTGCTCCCATTTACAGTGACTGTCTCGGAAATGCACAGGGGCAGTTCTACTCTGTCCTGTAGGGTCATTGTGAATTGGCATGGACTCAATAGCAATGAGTGCACCTGTGTGTGCTCTGGTATCCATGACAGTGCCCACAGCAGGTCAGGATCAGTGTCTCGTGTGCACCTGTGTGTGCTCTGGGGTCCGTGACTGTCTGCAGGCTGGGTTAGCATCCGGGCGGCTGCGAGTCACCTGAGATATACTAATTGGATGTCTCAGACATACTAATTGGATGTTGGATAACCAGCAGAATACAGCACACAGACCAGCACCTTGCCCTCATGAGCATGGGAGTCTGCAGGCTCCCGGTGGGCCCGCGCAGGTGACGGAGCAGGTGGCTCAGGAGGACTTGTGTGTGAGTGTGTACTTGGCAGAGACCCATGCTTCTGGAAGAGATCAGGAAAATGCCTGCAGTTACAGGTGCCTGGTGGTGTAGTGGGGGTATGTGTTGGGCTACTAACCATGAAGTCAGCAGTTTGAACTGACCAGGCTGCTCCAAGGGGGACAGATGAGGCTTTCTACTCCTGTGAAGATTTACAGCCTCTGAAACCCACAGGGGCAGTTCCACGCTGTCCTACAGGGTCCCTCTGCATTGGAATCGACTGGGTAGCAGTGAGAATCTCAGGGGGATATGAAGGTCCTTAGAACCACCCGACACCCTACCCACTCTGACCGTCCCAATGCCAGCATGCCCCGCCCCTTCCTCCGCTCCCTCCCCTCTCCCCTCACCCCCCTTAAATGCCACCACTATAGAGTCATTCTTTGGACAATGTGCAGCTGTCACCAGGAGGCGCCATCAGAATGCGGGCAAAAGGCCACCTCATGCACGCCACCCCCCC